TTGTACGTTTGGTTGATCGTAAGGATGAGACGACACGATAGTGGTCAGACGACTGGGTTCGGATGGGGGGGGTCAGGGGTGGGGGGGATGAGGGTGTGGTGGTTGTGGGGGGGGGGTGGTGGGGGGTGGGGTAAATACTAGATATTACAACAACTTATTAAGAGACTTGACTTCAAGTAGCAACTTAAAATAACCACAAAATATCCCCCAAAATTATTAAAACTACTAGCCCTTACAAATGTTACAACTTGTTAACAACAACAATGTTAAATCTTACAACATTTACTTACCCTTCAGTGTCAATATTAGGCATGTGATCTGATGAAACAACTCCATGTTCTAAGTGTTCCTTATTGTGGCCATGCCCAGTTGATCTGCCATACTTCATGTAGTCTTGGATGATACCAGTAATCTCCTCATCATCTTCCAGGAAATGAGAATAGGTGTTACCAGAGTAAGAAGTTCTGGTTGAAAATGGAGTGTGTGACCTGAATCTCCTTGGAGAGTTATGACCACTGAAAACAAAATAAACATTCAAGTGTTAGGACAGTAACTAACTGAGCAGTACTCCCGGTTGGTACAACTCTAGACTAGCTGTACATTTTATTAGGGGCAAGGGGGGTGTTGCTGGATTTTAGAATATGAAGCCATTTGAGTTCAGCTGTATTCTGGTAAACCCAAGGGGTTGTTGGAAAACAGCAAAAATTGAATTCTGATGAATTAGTATTACATTCTCCTGTCTGCCCATGAGACTAGAGGAGAATGTGACATCAGATCAAGAAATAAGTCTGCGTTTGCAGGCATTCTTTTTACAGAAACCTCTATAACATGGATACTTGCTTTTGTTCCCATGGTGACTCTAATAAAAAGGTATCAGTGTACAAAATAATGGTAAACTTATGCAACAGAATGGAAAAAGGAAAGAAGACAGCAAAACCTTGGGTGACAAGCATAACAAAATTATGCTTGACAAAATTGGCGGCCAAACTTCAACCTCCTTTATACAGACCCTTTTGTAAAAAACTAGACCACAGTTATATTAAGGGAAGATTGCGATAAAACGTTCAGTGTTGTCACATTTTTCACGCACAAACATAGATTTTGCCAGCCTCCTCTTTCTGCCCTCCTGTTGTATAAATTCACCACTTTTACATTACAGACCTGGTTTTTTTAAGTTCTTCAAGGTAGTAATCTGGGTCAGCACCTGGCTGAACGTTCTTATCTGCTGTCAGGTTTTCTGAGTCAAGGTAGTGAAGAAATTTTAAAAACAGAGTTTTGTCTCTTTTCTCCAGATTCCCTTTTAGTGATGTTTCCTTTGGACTGTCCACGACGCTGCCCTCCCAAGCCTCTTCATCCTAAATTCAAGAAAAGGGTGAAGTCCAAAATAAATAAAAATATGTTTTGAAAATAATTATGTTAAAGAGGAGATTACACTGCGTGCCTCAGAAAGTTACCTTGACTTCAAAAGGAACAAAGAAAGGAAACAGATCATTTAAGATGACAGCTGTGGAAAGAAAGGCTCTAGAAGGCAGAGATAAAGTATTTTTGTTTTATTAAAGCAAAAGTAATGAAAATCAATAAGTATGTTCCAATAACATTGGTATCTATCTAACTATAACATTTGCCAGAACAAAGAACAAAACAAAACAAACACACAACAAAAACAGATCAATAATTAACAAATCATCAAAATGACATGGTTTCATGCTATACAGTAGTTAGTTGATGTTTAGTTTCAGTCAAGATTTTTGAAAGCTCACCTCTTTTCCAAACTCAAGCACTGAGTGGGTCAAATTTCCCAAAGTTCTTAGTTTTAGCCCTGCTTCATACACACTCTCCTTTTTAAGGTTGCTCTCCACATTACCATGGCAATGAAGATCATCACTTGGGGTAAAAAGGAGAATAGCACCCTTGCGCGTGACAAATGTCTTTGGGAGGGAGAGTTGTCCATCATCCAAAACAAAACTGCCAGTAGACTTGGCAGACTTGTGACGCGGTGATGAATGATTTAGTAACTGAGGAAAGAGAGGCTCTATAGGGGACTGGAAAACAAGAATGAAATACGATCAAATATACATATATAATTCCGAAAATTCATTAATATTCTGAAAAGCCCCTTAGGGAGAATTAATAAATTGTATTATTTGTAATGTAATGTAACTGATGTACTAGAATTCATTAATTATTCACTGCAGTCAAAAGCCAATATTAGTGATGACCATTTAGATCAGGTGGATAAATCTGACAAAACACCAGATAAAACAAGACCAGGTTTTCATCTAACATGAAACAGGTTTTTCATCTGAGATCAAACACTCGCATTTAAATGAGATGTTTTGTTGATTAACACAACTCATGAAACAATGCATACCAGAGAAAACATGTCATAATTTCTTATTGTTTCATTTGAGAAGACATCAAAAACTTGGACTATGTGCTTCATCACCAGTTCCAAACACCTTGGAACAGATGAAAGTACCCAGCTGTGATGAAGCACTCGCCCTCCTTTTTATTTTGACATATAATTACAGAAAACACTGCAAAATCATATGAATGCCTATGTTTCTCAAGATATTATTATTAGTGCATGCACATTTTGGAAAGCAGTACATATCCTAATCATATATTTTGGCAATATTATTTCTGCCAACATTTTTTTTAAGTGTTGTTCATGAAAAATTATCCATTCATGCCAGTGTCCAAATCTACAGCCTGTAAAATATAAAATTTTGTAACTTGATCACAACGATCAACATTCCTGGATCGTCATAACTTTGAAAACGAATTTAGCTTTTGTGGTGCATGAAGGTACGGTAATGGTCAAAGGTTGAGGCAGTTTTGTTTCTTTTAGCGGCTAAATTAATGTTAAACAAGATGACACTCAGCTTGGTTGCTCTGACATTTCATTGAGTAAAATTACCTATGTTTGCACACTAGGGTGTCTTTTTGGTCCTTTTTGGGTAATTGTTCAAATATGGTGCTCCGGCCGTTTACATTCTGTTCTTAAATTACTCTTGTCAACTTACGTATTATTATTTTCACCTTTTTTTATGTTTTGCCACACAATTATGAGAAGCATTGTTCACGTATACGGACCTAAACTTCGAATTTTCCGTTCTTTCGTTCTGTTTGGAGTTAGGACTTATGTAATAATTTACGAACACGGTCAATTATCAGCCAGACGGTTTTTGTAAATTATTACTTCCACTAGCATCGTCTCAAATTTCTCAGTCCTCTACAACATTTTGGTCCAATTATTCAGAGCACCAAAACGAACTGCAGATGCGCCAAAAAGTTATTCAAAGATCAGGCTTTAAGCCGGTTTGTATGAAACGAGACCGACCAGGGTTGAAAGCTCTAAGCACCTTACATTGATAAACAAACTTAAAAGGTGTTGAATTCACCCGCATCTAAAGTGAAACAGTCTGCCATTATCAATTTTCCCAGAATTTCAATCCCCTTGCCCTTGATCGCGCTGTGTAATTCTACGCTAAGCAAAACCAGACAAGTTTCATCGTGCATGCAGATTTCGGCATAAATTGAATGATCATTTCAAAACAGAAAGAAACCCGAAAGGAAAAGAGCAGTTTTTGTCTTACCGTTTGATCCAAGCCATCTTCAAATTCAAGACCACCATCCCAACCAGCTTTTCCGCGGGCTAGCGGCGAAAACATCTACTCAACAGACCATTACACTGTAAAAAGTAGCATAAATGTTCTTGACATTCTCTCTCGTACGCCACATCACGCCATCTTTGCTTCTTGCTATATAAATCACGTTCACACAACAATGACTCGGTCGCCTTGCCAACATGCTAATTCAAATAATGGCAGGTTAATAAGTTAATCTCCTGTGAAATACTGGTTTATTTTGTACTGATTTCTACATTTTTCGTAATTTCGTATTCTTTGTATTTTTGGTTGTACAGTACCGTAGGAGTGTGATTTATAAAATAAAGCGGTTGGACACTAATACGCGTGACTTCGGTTACAGTGACTCTAATAAAGAGGTATCAGTGTACACAATAATGGTAAATTAAACTTATGCAACAGAATGGAAAAAGGAAAAAAACAGCAAAACCTTGGGTGACAAGCATAACAAAATTATGTTTGACAAAATTTTCTGCCAAACTTCATCTTCCTTTAAACACACCCTTTTGTAAAAGACTAGAACACAGTTATATTAAGTGAACATCATAATAAAACATGCAAGTAAAATTGATGTCACATTTGTCAGATACAAACGTAGGTTTTGCCAGCCTCCTCTTTCTGCCCTCCTGTTGCATAGGTTCACCACTTTTACATTACAGACCTGGTTTTTTTAAGCTCTTCAAGGTAGTAATCTGGGTCAGCACCTGGCTGAACATTTTTATCTGCTGTCAGGTTTTCTGAGTCAAGGTAGTGAAGAAATTTTAAAAACAGTGTTTTGTCTCTTTTCTCCAGATTCCCTTTTAGTGATGTTTGCTTTGGACTGTCCACGACGCTGCCCTCCCAAGCCTCTTCATCCTAAATTCAAAAAATAGGGTGAAGTCCAAAATAAATAAAAAAAATGTTTTGAAAATAATTATGTTAAAGAGGAGATTACCCTGTGTGCCTCAGAAAGTTACCTTAACTTTAAAGGGAACAAAGAAAGGAAACAGATCATTTAAGCTGACAGCTGTGGAAAGAAAGTGTCTAGCTAGAATGCAGAGATAAAGTATTTTTGTTTTATTAAAGCAAAAGTGATGAAAATCAATGAGTATGTTCCAATAACTTTGATACCTATCTCACTCTAACATCTGCCAGAACAAAGAACAAAACAAAACAGACACACCAACAAAAACAGATTAATAATTAACAAATCATCAAAATAACAGATAGTTTCATGCTATACAGTGGTTAATTGACGGTTAGTTTTAGTCAAGATTTTTGAAAGCTCACCTCTTTTCCAAACTCAAGCACTGAGTGGGTCAAATTTCCCAAAGTTCCTAGTTTTAGCCCTGCTTCATACACACTCTCCTTTTTAAGGTGGCTCTCCACATTACCATGGCAATGAAGATCATCACTTGGGGTAAAAAGGAGAATAGCACCCTTGCGAGTGACAAATGTCTTTGGGAGGGAAAGTTGTCCATCATCCAAAACAAAACTGCCAGTAGACTTGGCAGACTTGTGACGAGGTGATGTATGATTTAGTAACTGAGGAAAAAGAGGCTCTATAGGAGACTGGAAAACAAGAATGAAATACGATCAATACATATATAATTCTGAAAATTACTTAATATTCTGAAAAGCCCCTTGGGGAGAATCAATAAATTGTATAATTTGTATTTATGTATTGTAACTGATGTACTAGATTTCATTAATTATTCACTGCAGTCAAAAGCCAATATTAATGATGACCATTTAGATCAGGTGGATAAATCTGACAAAACATCGGACAAAACACCACCAGGTTTTCATCTGACATGAAACATGTTTTTCATCTGAGATCAAACACTCGCATTTAAATGAGATGTTTTGTTGATTAACACAACTCATGAAACAATGCATACCAGAGAAAACATGCAGGGTGCAAAGAAAGTGAGTTTTACAGGCTGCCATTAGGGCAAGCTGTAGCTAGCCCCAAAACCCTTTTGAATTAGCAGGATTGATTACAATCCTGTGATTTGAATTTCCCAAAAGAAACAGCACTTGCCCGCTGGGCAAGTTAAGAACAAAAATCAATAGCCCGATAACAAAATCCACTAGCCCCGGGCTATCGGACACGACTTTCTTTGCACGCTGACATGTCATAATTTCTTATTATTTCATTTGAAAAGACATCAAAAACTTGGACTATATGTGCTTCATCACCAGTTCCAAACACCTTGAAACAGATGAAAGCACCCAGCTATAATGAAGCACTCGCCCTCCTCTTTATTTTGACATATAATTACATAAAACACTGAAAAATCATATGAATGCCATGTTCCTCAAGATATTATTATGCACAATTTGAAAAGCATCCCAATCATATATTTTGGCAATATTTTTTCTGCCAGCATTTTTTTAAGTGTTGTTCACGAAAAATTATCCATTTATGTCAGTGTCCAAATCTACAGCCTGAAAAATAGAAAATTTTTTATACCTTGATCACAATGATTAATATTACTGGAAAGTCATAACTTTGAAAACGAAATTACTGGTGCATGAAAATACGGTAACGGTCGAAGGTTGATGTAGTTTTGTTTCTTTTAGCGGCTAAATTAATGTTAAACAAGATGACACTCAGCTTGGTTGCTCTGACATTTCATTAAGTAAAATTACCTATGTTTGCACACTGGGGTGTCTTTTTGGTCCTTTTTGGGTAATTGTTCAAATATGGTGCTCCTGCCGTTTACATTCTGCTCTTAAATTACTCTTGTCAACTTACCTCTAATTATTTTCACCTTTTTTATGTTTTGCCACACAATTATGAGAAGCATTGTTCACGTATACGGACCTAAACTTCGAATTTTCCGTTCTTTCGTTCTGTTTGGAGTTAGAACTTATGTAATAATTTACGAACACGATCAATTATCAGCCAGACGGTTTTTGTAAATTATTACTTCTACTTGCACCGTCTCAAATTTCTCAGTCCTCTACAATATTTTGGTCCAATTATTCAGAGCACCAAAACGAACTGCAGATGCGCCAAAAAGTTATTCAAAGATCAGGCTTTAAGCCGGTTTGTATGAAACGAGACCGACCAGGGTTGAAAGCTCTAAGCGCCTTACATTGATAAACAAAACTTAAAGGTGTTGAATTCACCCGCATCTAAAGTGAAACAGTCTGCCATTATCAATTTTCCCAGAATTTCAATCCCCTTGCCCTTGATCGCGCTGTGTAATTCTACGCTAAGCAAAACCAGACGAGTTTCATCGTGCATGCAGATTTCGGCATAGATTGAATGATCATTTCAAAACAGAAAGAAACCCGAAAGGAAAAGAGCAGTTTTTGTCGTACCGTGTGATCCAAGCCATCTTCAAATTCAAGACCACCATCCCAGCCAGCTTTTCCGCGGGCTAGCGGCGAAAACATCTACTCAACAGACCATTACTCTGTAAAAAGTAGCATAAATGTTCTTGGCATTCTCTCTAGTACGCCACATCACGCCATCTTTGCTTCTTGCTATATAAATCACGTTCACACAACAATGACTCGGTCGCCTTGCCAACATGCTAATTCAAATAATGGCAGGTTAATAAGTTAATCTCCTGTGAAATACTGGNGCGGCGAAAACATCTACTCAACAGACCATTACACTGTAAAAAGTAGCATAAATGTTCTTGACATTCTCTCTCGTACGCCACATCACGCCATCTTTGCTTCTTGCTATATAAATCACGTTCACACAACAATGACTCGGTCGCCTTGCCAACATGCTAATTCAAATAATGGCAGGTTAATAAGTTAATCTCCTGTGAAATACTGGAAGTATTACACGTACAAAAGACTACGTCAGCCGTTTGAACGGTCACGAAAGCCTTTCTGTTAAATGAACAGATAGTGGCTTTTAAACGAACATTTGTCATCTCACAAAAACTTTGCGAGCTACAAGGAGCCGCAAGCTTAAATTTAACAATGGGTCCGGAAAGACCATTAGTATAAGCTTTAAATACCAGGGGCGGGCGCCCGGCAAAAGAGAGGATTTTGCAGGATTTTGCCAAATCCGGTTTGTCTGTACACTTCCGGCATTGTTTTTAGACAGTGCCTATATGTACCAAAAGGCTTCTTGTTTCTAAAATGCTCAGCTACTTGGCCGATTAGATTTCTGAGATTTCTCTTCAATTTCTCTGGCCAGCGGCAAAGCAGTAAATATAAAAATTGAATTCATCAGTCGCTTGTTTTCTGCTAAGACAGTGTCGCTAAGGAAAACTTTCACTCACATCTATGAACAACACAAAACAAGTAGCAAGTCATGATAATGGTAATCCAGGGAAATCCGAGGGTGTGTGCCCGCTAATATTACAGCCGGCTCGAAAGAAAGGTAAAGAAAACTCAGTGGATAAACATTTGTAAACTGCCGTGAAACCCCACCGCTTGGACTAATATTATCTTAGCAAAGACACTTGAAATTGATACAGGCTCGATTTCGCTGCCGAAATCTCAGTTATCGTTAATGATGTCAAAAAATCAGTGAAAAATCGAATGCTGAAACAGGGTGCAGCATGTTGCCCTTCCTCGCAATACTTGACTTACTTTCAATGACCGAGTTAGCGCCTGGACTTTTTACTTTTCTGAATCTAGACTAGGGACCCTAATTTCCATAAATACACATTAACTGAGTAAACTAGAACGTACCTGTAAGAAGAAACTCTAATCTGTATGTATTTACTTTTAAAGTCCTGTCTCCTCTACCCATCCAAGTTCCACGTTCTGGCCTGGATCCGGCACTAATTCAAATCCCACTGTCCAACTTCTATCTGTTTTATGCTGTGTATTCGATGTCTCTTTTTTTTCTTGGATTTGGGAGCCTATTCAACAGGCAGTCAACTCTCTCTTAACGGACACCTCTATAAGACGAACACCTCTCTAAGACAAACACCTAGCCTGATGTTGGTCCCTGCCGTTTTTCAGTCATTTTACTGTAACTGTACTCTCTATTTTTAAGACGGCTAAGGGACACTCTTGAAACCGTCAACGGACACTTGAGAATTGCTTTATGCACTAAGAAAATACCTCAAAACGAAAATGTAGGTGTTATAACATCCTCGGAGACCCAGGGGCAGATAGTAGGGACGAGGGAAAAACTAAACGAGCGGAAAAATATGGCACGAAGAAAAGTAAAGAACGGCGAGAAGAGCTCTTCTCGCCGTTCTTTACTTTTCTTCGTTCCATATATATTTTTCCACCCGTTTAGACTTTCCCTCGCCCCCTTTATCTGCCCCTGGGTCTCCGAGGATAGTGTTATAAATGACAACAAATTGTAAAATTTTTAATATTTTGTAGTCTTTCTCCAGTTGGCAGAGCACGGTATACTGTTACGCTTTTAGGCAACAAAGCCGTAAACGTTTGCTTACAATGAACGCGTTTGATTGCGTACCGTAAGAAAATGATTCCACTTTTCTGTTACAATGTTCCAGTTTTAGCTGATTCGCCTAATTCATAAGTTAAACAGATGATTATTCAACGCGAATGGGTTCAGCTTAAGTTTTTACTGGTGTCACGTTACCTTAACTCTCTATAGCCGGACCAGGAGCCGAACAGTCGAACAGTCCCGAAAGTGTCCGTTTTAGAGAGAGATGAGTGATATTAAGTTAGACTGAAGAAAGGCGCTGTTTCGAATAAGGGAGTTCGAAAAAGGATCGGGAGGGCACGAATTCGAGCATTTAGGTAATTAAACGCTCTTCTCCTAGCAATTGACTTATCTTTAAACCTAAATGGCCGTGCTGATTATAAACTAACCTGGTCTAATCTTTTCCTTCACTCACCGACTTAAACAAAAAAATCTAAAGATAGAGTAACCTGAATTCAACTGAAACAAATGTCGCATCTGCCACTTTTGGGCGGCCTCAGTTTCATTCAGTACTGATCATGACTGATCATAACTGCTGTTAATATCGAGGCTAGCGGGGTGATAATAAGAAACAGCCACACGGTAACGCCAAAAAATTAAAGGACACACGATTACGCTCATATATATACGAAATACAACCGCTATAACAGCCCATATACGCCGACAGCCCCTATATTTCCTTACACAATCTGGAACCGGCCAATCATCGAAACGAGCGGCAAGACCCATTAAACTTCAAGATTGAGAGATCGTGCCGCGCGATACTTATAGTAACCCTACCCGCACTTCGCATTGACCTGAACGTATAAACGCTCCATTTTAGCGCATTCATGGGACAAACATGCCGAATACTTGAAGGCCTATGAACAGTTTGAAACTTCCACAACAGCTAGCTATTAACAGTCTGATTATTGAGTAGTAGCCTGCGCAGCTTACGGGATTGTTATACACGGGATAATTTGCTTGGTAGCCTGTTCCAGGTTCTCAGAATCGACTCAGATACTGGGAAAGACGCGAAAGTGAAAGACGCGCGAAAATGTGGCGGGAAAAAGGAGAAAGGAAGGAAGCCCTCCCTCTCCCCAGTTACCTTCTCTTTTTTTCATGTTCGCCCAGGCTATTTTCTTTCTCTTCGCGAGGACTTTAATTTTACCTGCTCCAATCTTAGCTTCTTGCGGCTCCGCCGCCACAAAAAACTACAACACTCGCCCGCTAATACCGCCAGTTACGTAGGCTGATTGAATCGCTGATGCCTGTCTGTATCACGAGTCTAATCCAAGGACCGTCATGTGTTCTATTGTTTTCCAAAGAGATTTAGTTGCAGCGTGAATTTTGGCAACAGTACAATCGATTTATGAACTAATAACATTTTTTTATCGGCATTTTTGCTGAAACTTCTTTAATTGAATGGTACAACATAACAAGTTGCACTGACACGATTTCATTTTAGTTTATTGAATACACTCTTACATGTAAACCTATAATACAAGCCTTTCTAGTTTTCGACTATCATACATACACACACAATAATCACCCAAGTACAGAAAAATAGATCATTACTTTACTGTGTAACCAGCAACATAACAATTTATTTTTGGCCCCTTGCAATAGAATAATAATTTGCAGTATCTAAAAGGGCGTAGATAAATACTTCACTTTTTTCTTAAATACATTCTATTACAACAAAGATATACATTCGAGGCAGTAAACACTACAAAACAGCAAACCTTTTCTGATAATTCTACAATTTAGCACCGTAATGAAAAAGTATATTATTTTAAAACCACATTTATAGAATCAACTCTGGAATATATTACAGTTTCAAATTTCTATATGTTTTTAACAACTTCCAACAAACCAAGCCTCGTTGAAAAATTTCCTTAAAGAACTAAAAGAACCGCGAATGTTTTACATGAAAGACTGTTTTATAGCCCGACTCAATTACCGATGAACATATTAAAAGTCGTTCCTAAAAACATACGTATTACGAGAATATTTTGAAAGAATGTTTTCAAAAATATCGAATAAAAGTTAGGCCACAGTTCCGCGATACCTGCGGTCCCTGTACTAAAGAACAGAGAGTGCACGGCATCATGGGAAGGATGTACATTCCCAGAAGACACTGTGCTAGAGCAAGGAAGCTTTCTTGGGGACGAGGCACCATACACTGAAAGTGTTGATCCTCTTTTGATCCGTAACCAGTGACAAGACAGTGTAAGTCCACCTATCTCTAAAACCAAGAGCTATAATAGGACCTGTCCTATTATGGCTCTTGCTAAAACTTATCACATTTTAAGGGCATAAGCTACCTTACCTATGGTCCGGCCACAAGGTAGAATATTGCGCGCCATAGTTTTTCGTGCACCCCTAAAGATTGTTGGAAGCAATACTGTGGAAGTATAGGAGCTAGTTTTATGATTTTTTTTTACCGAAATTGCTCAGCTTGTATTTACCAATTTGATTTCAACTATGCGTGAAGATTTCAATCTTGATCTACTAGTATGTCAGCTGACCTGAAACCGTGGCCGGTCCTAAAATGTTGCCGCTTCGTGTTGCAGATAGACCGCTTTAGAATTGTCTGCAGACAGCAGAGTGGGGTAATCAGTGTTCGATACGCTGGCCGGACTAGCGCTAATAACAGAGTTTGGAACAGGGCGGATAAAGGTTATCCGCCCTGGTTTGGAAGTATTGACTCTGCGCTCCTTGCTAACGCTGGGATCTTGCCTTTGACTCAAGTAAGCACGTTGAAATGGCGGTCACGTCTGCAGTAGGGGACGCCAAAAAATGTTCTTCGATATATATTGTGCTAAATACATTTACACTTTAATAAATAAAGTCGGATTTAAAATGGGAAAGCCTGAAGACAACCTAACTTTCACCTAAAAATGAAAAATGTCAAGAATTTTTTAACTCCTCTAAAATATCTTCATAAAATGGTGTAAATACTGCAATATTGTGACCGATTACACGCGCAAATCGGCCGGTAATTTCTGATAGTTCAGAGTTCACACAAGCTAAGCCCTGAGGAATGGTAGGTGAAGTGGATCTTCTATCTTGAGATGGTGAATAACGCGCAGCATCCCGTCTTTGATGGTGTAGACTCCTAATTCGGGTTAACATGAAGTCATACACCCGGGTGCCTGCAAGGTGAAAAGAAAAATTCGCTTAAAATTTCATGAGGTAGAACTCATTTTACAGTTAGAAGAAAAAAAAAAAGAAGAAGAAGAAGACGAAGAAGAGGAAAAAAACTAGCAGGATGAGCTTCTAACTTCAACCAAGCGAGTCATTAATCTCATATCCACTATGCAATACAGTGGAAGCTCTCGTAAGCGGACACCCTCGGGGCGAGAAAAAGGGGTCCGTAAGAGACCTTTTTACCGATACGGCGGCCATATTGAATTTATTAGATTAAGGAGTATTATGGGATGCCCAGGGGGCACTCGCTCAGTATTTACGCGCGCTTTTGGGGCAAAAAGAGAACTTCACTGTATATTTCTCGGGAAAAAGACGATCATTATTTCATCCAAACACGACCCAACGATCTTTTTTCCCATTACAATCTTTTTCTACGAAAACGTAAAGAAAAGAATGAATACTGGGAATGCGAAAAAATGTTTGTTAAGTGTTTGGCTATACTACCGTTCTGATGACGTTGCCATTTAGGCGCAAGCATAAAATTCACGTGGTGTTTTGAGGTGCAACCGGACGTGTCTTTGAAAAAAAAAAGAAAGAAAAAAAAACAGACACAGACTGATAAAAATTCAGCCATTATGACAAAGAGCAAAATAATAAATATAATAAAAAAAAATACAAGATTCAGAGGCCAATGAGGTGTCCGCTTACGAGAGCTTAAAACTACAGCTAACATCTAACTCGTAAACCCTGAAAGTGTCCACGGCCGCCTACGGGAATTATCTGCTTGGGAATGTAAAAATGCTGAGTTTGTACTCTAGTAAGCCGACACCCTTGGGACAAGTTCTCTAACCCTGAAGAAATAAAAGGATGATTATCAAATGCCTATTATAATTTACTACTCACTTATTAAGTTAAATACGGTGTTATCAGGGAATGTTATTCCTTCAGTTTGTCCTTTCAGCATGTCTTTTTGTTGAGATGTGAGTTTGTTTAAACCTCTGTCATCTAGAAACTTTTCAGTTTCTCGTATAATCTGTTCATACATTCCAGGAAGAGCAGATGGGAAGTCCCTAGAAGAAAAGAAATATAGTATACTGAAATATTTCCTGCGCAACATTTGAGTTATCGTGAATAAATAATCACTGTTATTATTCATTCAAAAGATTTCGCCGTTGCTGATTGGCTCCAATCCCCCGGTTAATTAACAATTATTCCTCGAGCCCGAATGGGCTCTGAGTCAATAGCCCATGAGGCCGAAGGCCAAATGGGCTATTGACTCAGAGGCCATGAGGGCGAGAGGAATAATTGTTAAATAACCAACTGGTGCTTACCATATTTGGAAGATGCGAGCAATATACCATCGATTCGATGGTATATTTTGATTAGAAACGAGACTGCTAATAAGAGATCATCGGTAAGCCGCCAAGCTGTTTATTCACGTGTGAACTAAGACAATTGGCGTTCACGGGAATCCGAAGACAAAATAGCTGAATTTTGAACTAAATCTGAACGGAAGAAATACAAGAATCGCTAAACATATCGCTCGATGGATGTTATATACTTTTTGAGGAGTATCTGCAAGGAAAACTTTTATATCCTGAAATCTTTCCGAGAAATAGGCTAATTAGGTTTGAAGAAAGTCGACGAGGAGGTAATTGGAAACATTTTGAATGAATAATAAAACAATCATTGAATTCGCCTTTAGTATGATGTGAAAAATTATGCAGATCTCGGCCTTCATCCTCGGTGGATAACATTCTCCTCGATCGGCATTATTCTTCACATCCTACCTACTCAGCCTCATTAGTCTAGACTGCTTGAATTGTAAACTAAAGCTTCACTCCTAACGATTCTACTGAAAAAAATTGAGGACGTTACATGCAAAGCTACACGCGCTAGAACCACTTATTAAAATTTTCTACACATTTGTCTGTAAATATTTCTCTTCCAGCCGACTAAAATTTCCCGGGAAAAATTGCAGACAAATATGTGAAAATTCCGGTGAAATTTAAGCGCAGTTACGGTCCCAAAAATTTGTTGGTAAAATCCTTTGCTATGTAGCTTTAGTTTGCAAATATTCATATTTTTTTCAGAACAGCCGTTTTACAGAAATTATTCGACATTAGATTCTCATACAAACACTGTAATTTCTCACGCGGTTGCCTTCTCGTCAAGATGGCTTCCAAAACCGCGACAAGGTCTATTGAGCAAAGGATGGGCGCATGGGGGTATTCTGGTCAAATGAACTCAAGGTATGTTCTGACTCACCCCTCAGATACACCGTCCAAGAGAATATAAAGCACTTTCTTAAGACTGGTGAGATAAGCTACATCTGAAGCCAGCTGTTGACCAACAGTGTTCAGTGTTACGAGTACAACTGAGGCAATTAGAGTGGTGCGGCGGATACTCCATCTCATCTCAGCCAATCGAAACTCGTCCATAATCAAAGTCTACAAACAAGAGAGAGGTAGATACTAATAAACACAATAATTTGCGATTTCATAAAATGCATTCATACAGTAGATTGGGACCCCCACTTCCCCTCCTGGAAGGCACAATAAATAATCTGACAGGTCCTTTCTGTTTGCCCCCTGTAGATACAGTGCATCTTCTCAGAACTTCTCACATGAAATAATCTTACATTCTTAACTGTATAGTCAGATTATTGTCATTATTATTATTTATTTATTTACTTATCTATTTTCTTTGACATATTTATGTTTCCTCTAGTATAGTGAACACTGTTTTTAGGAGTATTTTATTTTAATAAAAAGCGTTAAAGCACAAGGCACGATTCTGACAGCAGCTGACAGCTTAAATTGTGGATAAAAATAGGAATGTGACACGTCCTATTGACGTTGATGTTTTGTGTGTTATCACATCTGCACAGAAATTCAGAGGAATTGTGGATTTTGTGTGTGTTTATATTGTAATGCTACCTGTCACTTCTACAATTAGATGCTAAAACAACCAGAATTTTTAGGCAGCAGTTGCTTAGAAGTCTAACAAGGCCATGATGGCTTGCTCCAGGAAACCACTAGAAAAATTAGCCTGGGACCAGGCACCTGGAGGAAAAGGCAAAAAATGGGGTGAAGCAGCTAAAATCGGCAAGCTAAGCAAGCTCGTTTCTCTCACCAATTTTCCCCACCCCCTTCCTAAGTTTTTTTTTCGCCTTTTCCCTCACTGTGAAGCCTAGTCCCAGGCTATGGAAAAATGTATTAGACTTAAATGACATTAGAATGAAAGTGCTACCAAAAACATCCGCCAATTTTTTTTGGGTATGGAAGTATAGAAAGAGTTTTGGCCCAGTAATGATCAGTGTTTATAAATACCATTATACCTCAGGGTAAGGCCAGCCTGGTTCACCGAAGATAATTCCTAAATATCCATGAACTAAAACATCTGATAGACTAGTGTCTTGTAGCTTCCTCTGAAAGTCTGTACTGTCTACTCCCTCTGCTGAGTTTTGTGCATCAGTCCTGGGACTTGTCCCTGTTGCCACCTCTGCTCCTCTTTTTAACCACACCTTAGTTGACATAAGACCAGCTGAAAAGTAATAAAAATGATTTAATTTTGTGTACTTGTAAGAAAAATAACCTAATCATGTGCTCATGACTGTGCCCAAAGAATAATAAAATAATGTCAATAATTAGCAATTATTAAATGAAGCTGATGAGTAGGATGCGAAGACTTAAGCGGATCTAGGTGGATGTTATCCACCGAGGCTGAAGGCAAAGGCAGATAACATCCTCCCAGATCTGCATAAGTCTTCACATCATGCGAAAGGCAAATTCGATAATAATTATTCATTCAAAATGATTCTAAGTACCCCCTCGCTGACTTTCTTTAAACCTTTAACCTTTTTCTTGGAACAGTTTCAGGATAAAAACAAATGTTTTTCCTCGCAGATGCTCCTCAAAAAGTAGATAACATCCATAATTGAGTGATATGTTTAATGTAGTTTTTGAACTGTTCTTAACAAGATTACCTCATCGTAGACTTTCTTCAAACCTTTAGCCTATTTCTTGACACACTATTTCTTGATATAAACAGATGTTTTTCCTTCAATGTCGATACTCCTCAAAACATAAATAAAATCCATAGAGTGATATGTTTAGCGTATTCTTGTATTTCTTCCATTCAGATTTAGTTCGAAATTCAGCGATTTTGTCTTCGGATTCCTGTGAACGCAATTTGTTTTCGGCTTGGCGATGGTCTATTTCCCTATGGCTAGCAGCCTCATTTTCAATCAAATTATATGGTCTATTAATCAACCTAGTTTCCGATCAAATATACCATCCAATCGTTATTTATGTTGCTCACATATTCCAAATATAGTAAGTGCCAGTTGGTTATGAAGAATCAGCCAGGGGATTGGAGCCAATCAGAAAAAGTGAAATGTTTTGAATAAATAATAAGTATTTGCTATTTGTATTTACATATTAGCGAGCTAACCGTGCTTGCTTGATTAGTCACTTTTTACAGGGTCTGATATCCCACCCAAGAAAATTGAATAATTTAATGCTGCACAGTGACTGATAAGACAACGAGATTTTTCTTTCTTTACAAATTATTTTTTTCTATTTCCCAATGATTGCCATATACATTCATAACTCAAAATATGCACAGTATGGCCAAACTTTGATTATTTATTTATCATTTCATCTCGGAAATTGTCGAAATTATTTAAATAAGCAGACCTGACAGACCTGTTCCTGCTAGTACAAGCCCTTTATTCAAATTCCTATCAGCAACCTTTGGCGTTTTGATGTGAGGTTTGACTGTATTTACTGTTATATCTCAAATTCACAAATTAAATACATGTTACACAAATATATTTTTTTGTTGTTGTAAATTTACCTATTTACCTGGATTAGATTGAAGATAATCTTTAAACTTGTTTCTCTCATAGTCAATAGACTGTTGCACTAGATGAGGCTTAATGGATTGAAGTTGAAAATTTGCCATGTCTACCTTCATTGCATCCATCAAATTAAACACTTCCCTAAAAAACATAATGACAAAAGGCAAATGAAAGTTATTGTTTCATGTGAGTTTCACCATTTCCAGGTAACAGTAACTTGCAAGTCCAAAACCAAGGTTGCACTGGAGAATCTGAAGAATGAACACTAACCATTTAAGAAAAACTATCATTTCTTAACTTTATTAGAAGATATGCTAACCCATGGGCCACTTTACACCTTTTGCTGTTCATAACGAGAAAATATGCCATAATTTGCATGAAACGGCAACCAATAGTGCGAAGATACATTCATTAGCGCAAAAAAAAGAACATTTGTGCATAAATCAGATTCAATAATGATTTTTGCATTTTAATCAATATTCAATAACACTTTTGGGCATTAATTCATATGCATATTAATCCTAAGGTTGTCCAGGAATGCTATTGAATTGCAAAGAGCGTCATAAAAATGTTAATGAATAGTGTTTGCACTTTAATGTTTGTCTGTTGTCCCTATTGACTTTCAAGATGGTGTTAATGACTTTGATGTTGGCGTTTTGAAAGTACATTTTTCTCTTTCATTTGCTGAATGACGCATATGAATGCCCAAAAGTGTTATTGAATGTTGATTAAAATGCAACAATCGTAATTGAATCTGATTTGTGCGCAGATGTTTGTATTTTTGGGCTAATGAATGTACAGCTGTATCGTCGCACTATTGGTCGCCGTTTTGCACAGATGATTGCGTATTTTCTTGTAATGAACAGCAAAAGGTGTAATAATAATAATATAACTTTGAAACAGTAATTTATTGCTTTGAACATGTCTGATGTAGTCACAAGGTTTCGGTCATCTGCTGTTTTCTATTTTAACAGCTCACTTTTGAACAGTTGTATAAGCTGCTTTCAGGAGTGTCAAAATAAGCAGCCCCTACTTATTTAAGCTCAAATTATAAAGGGCATTTATTCAATTCGAAACTCTATCTGTTTTGGCATGTTCTTTACCCATCTTGCAATGGAATAATTTTTTAAAACATTTTTTGTTTCTTTTTAGAAAAAGATTGTTTACCAATGAGAACAAGATTACATGTGTATTCTGGAAAATATCAGAAAAGAGAGATACTGTATGATTTACTTTAAAAAAATATTTTGTCTTGCACAGACAACTAAAATTTTTTCATGCCCACTCTATTATGCATTTTAAATTTTCTCTCACTTGAAAAGATCTACAAGATCCTCATTTTGAAGGATTTTCTTGGCTTGTTCATCCCTAGCAGGGGCACAGAGCTTGCTAAGTATACCAACTACAAACTGTGCCAGCCTTGAAATATCCAGAATACCATGACTAGCCTGCTGTTTTATTAGATCCAGGTCAAGAACTTCATTTATCTGTGCTCTTAGTGAATTGTGATGAGGAAGAAGCAGTGACAGCATATTCTGCAAAAACAAGGAAAAGAAGAAACTTCAATAAGTGCATTATTTTCAACTTTACTGTGACTTTTGGCCTAATTTTATATACTCATCATTTCCTGATATTAAAGCTAAACAGAAACTGTGATCAATAATGAAAGTTAATAAAGTTCCATCAGTATCTCTGGAAATTTTGGTTCCAATATATACCAGTCCAGATAATGGCTCAGTCAATTCCAAGCGTGCCCATCCCCCTCGGGCATTTGTCATTTTTTTTTTTTGGGGGGTGGGGAAAGCTGCAAAAACCCCTTGGTGGGGCTGGGCGGTTCATACTTAAACCCCACAGTGGGGCTTGAAAAATTGTGCAAATGCCCCACCCTGTGACAACACAAAAATTGCCTTTTCCACCCTGTAAATATGAGCTAGAAATGCTATATTTAACAAGGCGATAACAGTACTTTTTCAAAATTGTTTACTTTACAATTACACATTCATACCACCTTTGGAAACTCTTGACAATGATTGAACTAGCTATGCGTTGTCTTTGGAGAACGAAATCTTTGTTACTTAGTCGGTTAATTCGATTGTGAGAGCAGGGAATTTACTCCTTAACTTAAACATTCTTTTCTGCTAATTT